TATCCACGCACAAGCACACATTCACACGAACACACACACACATACAAACACACACATATACGAACACAGTGTGTACATGCTTACATTCCCCTCCTCTATCAGACACATGCATACACACACACAGACACATACAGACACAAACATACACAGACACAAACACACACAGACACAGACACACACACATACGGACACAAAAACACACACAGACACAGACACACACACACACACAGACACAACACATACACAGACACATACAACACACACATACACAGCCACACAAAGACACAAACATACACATACACAGACACGGACACACAACAACACACACCACACAGACACAGACACACACACATACATACAGACACAAACACACACAGACACATACACACACAGATACACCCACAGAGATATCGGTTTAGAATTTCTGTAAAAAAAGTAAAGTATTGATAAAAGACTTGAAGCGCACGGATGAGAGGAAGGGGCGAAGAGAAGAGAAGGAGAAGAAGGAGGAAGGAGGAGAAGAAGAGAAGGAGATGGAGAAGAAGAAGGAGAAGGAGAAGGAGAAGGAGAAGAAGAGAAGAAGATGGAGAAGGAGAAGGAAGGAGAAAGAAGAAGAAGGAGAAGGAGAAGGAGAAGAAGGGAGAAGGAGAAGAAGAAGAAGGAGAAGAGGAGAAGAGAAGGAGAAGAAGAGGAGAAGAGAAGAAGAAGAAGGAGAAGATGTCTCTCTTCCTTACTTCTTTATCCTCCAGGCACTCTTTCTCTCTCTCTTTATTTGTCTGGTTTGTTTGTCTCTCATCGTTCTCTTCCTTTTTTTTTTCTTTCTATTTTTCTCTTTCTCTCTCTCTTCGCTCCTCATTCCTCTATACATGGCCTTTCCTATCTCTCTCTTCCCTCCCTCTCCTTCTCCTTCCCTTCCCTCCCTTTGCACTTCCTCCCTCCTTCCCTCTCCTCTCCTTCCTCCCCCTTGCCCTTCCTCCCTCCCTCCCTCTCCTTCCCTCTCCCTTGCACTTCCTCCCTTCCCCCCTCCTCTCTCTCCTCTCCCTCTCCTTGCCTTCCTCCCTCCTCCCTCTCCTTCCCTTCCCTTGCACTTCCTCCTCTCCCCCTCCCCTCCCTCTCCCCCTCCTTCCTCTCCTTCCCTCTCCTTGCCCTTCCTCCCCCTCTCCATCCCCCCTCCCTCCCTCCCCTCCCCTCCTCTCTCCCCGCACCCAACCACCTCCCTAACGCGCCCATAATTGAAACCCACACGACCGGGCGAGGTCCCACTGGCTCCGAAGCCCGAGGAGGAGGCGTAGGAGGAGTAGGAGTAGGAGGAGGAGGAGGAGTAGTAGGAGGAGTAGGAGTAGTAGGAGGAGTAGGAGTAGTAGGAGGAGTAGGAGTAGGGAGGAGGAGGGAGGAGGAGGAGGAGGAGGAGGAGGAAGGAGGAGGAGGAGGGAGGAGGAGGAGGAGGAGAGGAGGAGGGAGGNTATGTATATATATGTATATGTATATATATGTATATGTATAAAGTATGTATATGTATATGTATGTATGTATATTTATGTGTATGTATATGTATATGTATGTATATGTATATGTATATTATGTATTATATATGTATATATATTTGTATATATATATGTATATGTATATATATGTATATGTATATATATGTATAATTTATTATATGTATATATATGTATTATGTATATATATGTATATGTATATATATGTATATATATGTATATGTATATATTGTATATGTATATATATGTATATATGTATATATATGTATTATGTATATATATGTATATATATATGTATATGTATATATATGTTATTATTATATATATGTTATATATATATGTATATATTATGTATATGTTGTATATATGTTTATATATGTATATATATGTTATTATATATGTAGTATTAATATGATATTATATATGTATATATATATGTATATATATATGATATATATGTATATGTATATATATGTATATATATATGTATATGTATATATATGTTATATATATATGTATATGTATATTATGTATATATATTTATATGTATATATATGTATATGTATATATGTGTATATATATATGTATATATATGTATAGATATGTTATATGTATATATATATATATATAATATATTATATATGTATATTATATATACATGTTTATATGTATATGTTTTATAGTATGTTTTTAATGATTGATTTCCCTTAGAAGGGTGTTGTGTTTGGAGTGCTGATATTTTGAGATAGATGGCCTTTTACATGTCTTTTATGGTCATTGACTCATACTTTCAAAATACAGCCAAGGGTTTGATTATTTGATATTTGGATATTTCTGAGTGTAATTTGAATGCATTTTCAAATGTTATTTTGTATATTTTATCAATATGAAAGATATATATTAAAGAAATATATTTCTGCTTTGTATTAAGGATGATTATTTTTGCATCATGCATACATTTGATTGGCAGTGTATGCACCATTGATAATTATAATATATGGATTCTTGCTTTCATGCCTTTCATCTTCCAGGCTTACATAACCAACCTCAGTCAGACCAATCCAACACTCCTAAATGACACACCCTTAGCAGGGGAAGAGATTTCCATCTTGACTCACAAGGACTTGCTAACAGTTGCGGACAGACAGTTCCGCTGGGAATATCCTGAGGGATCTATTCTTGCTACTTTCACCAAGAAAGAGAAGGATGTTGATTACAAAATTCTTTCACCCAAAGCAAAGTCACCTGTAAGTCAGTACATGCGTGAAGGTTACAGATTAGGTAAGGATATGTACTTATTTATGTATTTGTGTATATTTATTCATATTTTCATATAAGTATACTTATTAATTTTGTGAATCAATATTTGGTATTTTTTTTACTTATTATATCTATTTTTTTATTTTTTTAAAATTTTACTTTGCAGAGACTGATGGAGCTGAAAGTAACAAGAAGCGCAAACCAGGGGAAACTGAATTACCTGATGCAAAGAGAAAGAGAGTTTCTTTCGGTCCCTATCTTAACCCTGAACATTTTGATAAACAGTTGCCCCCAGCTACTCCTGTCAGCAAGGGTGAGAAACCAAACACACGGCGAGCATCATTAGATCTTTCTAGCAGTCCATTTGTCAAGGGAAGCACAACGAAGAAAACCCGCATTTCACTCATTCCAAGTGCTGCTGTTATTACAGAAGAGAGTGGCATTGACACCCCAACCAAGAGTCTTTTGAGGAGGAGGAGCCCGACACCAGTGAAACCTTACTTGGCTCGTAGTCTAGGTCTCCTTACTCCCAAGGCACTGAATGGAGGGACACCAAATTCAAGCCCTGAAAACCTAAAGACACATTCAGTGCAAACTGAATTATTGGCCTCAGAAGTATCAAGTGCATTGGAGAGTGCCTTTCAAAAGAGTACAAAGGTCAGCAGTGATGATGAAGAAAATGGGTCTACTGTGAAGAGCCCCAAAGCCTCAAGCCCAACAGCTGCCTCCCCAAAGTCCAAAGCTGCAACCCCCAAAGCCAAGAGTCCGACAACAACAACCCCCAAAGCTAAAAGTCCATCGACATCCCCGAAAGCCAAGAGCCCAGCAGCAGCAACCCCCAAAGCCAAGAGCCCAGCAGCAGCAACCCCCAAAGCCAAGAGCCCAGCAGCAGCAACCCCCAAAGCCAAGAGCCCAGCAGCTGCAACCCCCAAAGCCAAGAGTCCATTGGCATCTCCTAAGGTTAAGAGTCCAAAGGTTATCTCTACTAAAATCAGTAGCCCGAAAATGTCCCCCAAAAGTGCTAAGAGCCCGAAAGCAGTTACTCCAAAGAAACCTAGCCTTCATACTGCCAGCCCCAAGAAATTGGAAAAGACTCCCATTAAGAAAACTCCCACAAAACTTGCCACTCCTAAATCTGGAGCCAATAAACTGTCTTCCCCAAAGGCCATATCTGCAAAGACAACAAGTCCGAAGATTCAGGCAACACCCAAGAGTAGTATCTTGAAAACTTCTCCAAAGAAATCAGTGACCTTAAAGACATCGCCAGGGAAACTAGGGGCCCCCAAAACTACTCCCAAAAAGTTGGGTACTCCAAAAGCCACACCCAAAATTACACCCAAGAAATTGGATACCCCTAAAGTTACCCCCAAGAAGGTGGATACCCCTAAAGTAACCCCCAAGAAGGTGGATACCCCTAAAGTAACCCCCAAGAAGGTGGATACCCCTAAAGTAACCCCCAAGAAGGTGGATACCCCTAAAGTAACCCCCAAGAAGGTGGATACCCCTAAAGTAACCCCCAAGAAGGTGGATACCCCGAAAGTTACCCCAAGAAGGTGGATACCCGAAAGTTACCCCCAAGAAGGTGGATACCCGAAAGTTACCCCCAAAAGGTGGATACCCGAAAGTTACCCCCAAGAAGGTGGATACCCCGAAAGTTACCCCCAAGAAGGTGGATACCCCGAAAGTTACCCCCAAGAAGGTGGATACCCCAAAAGTTGCCCCCAAGACGGTGGATACCCCAAAAGTTACCCCCAAGACGGTGGATACCCCTAAAGTTACCCCCAAGAAGGTGGATACCCCTAAAGTTACCCCCAAGACGGTGGATACCCCAAAAGTTACCCCCACGACGGTGGATACCCCAAAAGTTACCCCCAAGACGGTGGATACCCCGAAAGTTACCCCCAAGACGGTGGATACCCCGAAAGTTACCCCCAAGAAGGTGGATACCCCTAAAGTTACCCTCAAGAAGGTGGATACCCCTAAAGTTACCCCCAAGAAGGTGGATACCCTGAAAGTTACTCCCAAGAAGGTGGATACCCCGAAAGTTAAGCCCAAGAAGATGGATACACCTAAAACCACCCCCAAGAAGGTAGATACTCTGAAAGCTACACCCAAGAAGGTGGGGACACCCAAAACTACACCTAAGAAAGTAACTCTGTTGGGGAGACCAAAACTTGTACCCAAGAAAGCTGGTGTTAAAGCAACTGCAAAAACTACTCCGAAGTCAACAGCCTCAAGAGGACAGAAAAGGAAGGCTAGCTTGACACCTCAGGCATCAAAATCCAAGAAGACAAAAGTAGCTGTAGCCACACCTAAGCAAGGTATGATTATATATAATGTATGTATATATAATATATAATCCCTTCCTCCCTATCCCATGCCTCTCCTCCTTTCTTTCATTTTTCTCTCCCTCCTCCTCTTCCACTCCCTCTCCTCCCTCCTGTCCTCCACCAATCTGTTTGACATTGTTTTTTCTCTTACAGAAAGCACATCTAAGAAAACACCAAAGAAAGTTCAAGCAAGAGTTCTGGCTAAGACTCCTAGAAAGACTCCTGGAAAGACCCTAAGAGTCCTGGGCAGATGTTTGTTGAAGCGAGGCCTAATGGCGCGGAAGATGCCATCATCCAAGGCCGAACGTGCCAGGGAAGTGATTCAGAAGGCAAGAGTCCTTAGGGATTCTCGTAAGGCTGGAGGAGTGAAAAGTGCTTCAAATACCAAATTTTCCTTGGTAAGATTGTGGATACATAAGAGTTTTGTTATTATGTTGTGACTTATTTTGGTGTTTGTTTTATAAATAGTGTCTTATAATTGAACATGAATAGGAGCAATAACCTTTTTGGAAGTTAATGGCATTATACACTGGGAATTTGCACATTAGGAGTACACTTACTACAGGTGTTCAATAGGATGATCTCATTTAGGTGTACACATTCTACTGGATACTATAGGATGACTTTAGTGGTCATTTTTATTTTCATGGTCCCTTTTATAGTAATGCCTTAATGAATTCAATTTACAATTGGTAATAAGGGCCTAAGTTTGGCAAAGCTAGGGTGCAGTAGTGTGTGCAGCTCCATGCCTTGACCATTGTCTAGCTCATTGCTGACCTGGCTGCGGAGGAGTTGTCTTATGATTTGATTAGACATTATAGGTTAAGGTTATTGCTGTTGTTACAGCTTGTGAATTGAGAAGGGTATTAGATGGTAATCTTTTATTTCAGGAGGTGCCACAAAGCTTTGATTTTAGAACGTCTACCACTGGACATGTCAATTCACCAGCTCCAATCTTCATTTACAAGAAAACAGCAAAAACACCTCGTGTATTTCGAAAAGGACAAAAAAGTCCCTTCAAGTCCAGAATCACAGGGCCAGCAGGAACTGATGAACACTTGGAAGGATTGGCAGGGCTCATGGATACCCCAGGCAAAGTGGTTGATTCAGAAGATAGGATGGCACATAGTATCAAAACTAGTGAATCTAGCCCAAGAATTTCCTTGAACCAAAATTCTACAACAGAAGGCTCACCTCGCCCAAGAGGGAGACCTTCAAAACAAGCAGCAAGTCCAACAAAGACGCCAGAGAGCTTGCCTCGTCCTAGAGGCAGGCCTCCAAAACAGACTGCAAGTCCAACAAGGACACCAGAGGGCTCACCTCGTCCTAGAGGTAGGCCTCCAAAACAGGCTGCAAGTCCAGCAAAGACACCAGAGGGCTCACCTCGCCCTAGAGGTAGGCCTCCAAAACAGGCTGCAAGTCCAACAAGGACACCAGAGGGCTCACCTCGCCCTAGAGGTAGGCCTCCAAAACAGGCTGCAAGTCCAACAAGGACACCAGAGGGCTCACCTCGCCCTAGAGGTAGGCCTCCAAAACAGGCTGCAAGTCCAACAAGGACACCAGAGGGCTCACCTCGCCCTAGAGGTAGGCCTCCAAAACAGGCTGCAAGTCCAGCAAAGACACCAGAGGGCTCACCTCGCCCTAGAGGTAGGCCTCCAAAACAGGCTGCAAGTCCAACAAGGACACCAGAGGACTCACCTCGCCCCAGAGGTAGGCCTCCAAAACAGGCTGCAAGTCCAACAAGGACACCAGAGTGTACACCTCGCCCAAGAGGTAGGCCTCCAAAACAGACTGCAAGTCCAGCAAAGACACCAGAGGGCACACCTCGCCCAAGAGGTAGGCCTCCAAAAGAAGACAGCACTCTAAGTCCAGTGAAAATGCCTCAGAACAGATCCGATTCTACAGAGCAAATAGATGCTTCAAGCCCAATTAAAAATACATTAGACACAAAATCTCCACAACAAGTTAGTATTGCAAATCCTGCAAAAACTCCAGAAGAACCAACACCAAAATATAGAGGAAGGCTGCCTAAATATTCAATGACACCAAATCTAAATACACCTCCAGGACCTTCAGCATCAGATTTTGAGGATTCTTTAGGTGCATCACCTGCCCTTTTCTCTCCATGTACTCCAAACATTGTCAGTAATAGTCACACTAAAGGTAAAATGAGTATGTCCTATGCCAACACTCCATCATCATATGGTAATACCACAAACTTTGATTTCTCCTCTATTAAGACACCAGATGTAACAGAGGATAAATTCATTTCACCTCTTGTAACACCTGCGGTGGCCAGCAACACTCCTGAGCGTTTATTGCGAAGCGTACGTGGAAAGTCTGCTTTGGCCTCACCTGAAGATGTACCCATAGAAACTGATGCCACTACTTTTGACTTCGAGTGTGCTGACACTCCAAATGTTTCACAGGATATATTTGTCTCACCAGTGAGTGTAAAATCAAAAACATCACCTGAATTAAGAGGACTGAAATCCTTATACAAGAAAAATAATACTGCAGACTATAATAATGTTGAGGGCATAAAGAAGCTAATGTCAACACCAAAGCCTGAAAATGTGACAAATGCATCTTATACAGCTGTTTCTGGTTTGAGAAACTTAATGAAAACACCTAAAATGCCAGTTCCAGAGAAAGAAGCTGATGACACCCATTTAGCTGGAATACGGAAAATCCTGCGGACACCAAAGCCTGTTCCTGAAAGCCCTCAAGCTGATTATTCAAAAATTGCTGGTATCCGTAAACTGATGAAGACACCAGCACCTAGTGTTGCAGAGAGAGAAGCTGATGATTCCCACATAGCAGGGATCAGGAAAGTCTTGCGAACACCAAAACCTAATCCAGAAAGTCCCAAAGCCGATTATACAGGTGTCACTGGATTGCGCAAGCTCATGAAGACCCCTAAAGCAAATGCTGCAGAAGAGCCAGTTGATGACTCCAAACTCTTTGGCATTGGAAAAATGTTACGGACACCAAAAACCACAGAATGTCCTGAAGCTGATTACACAAATATTCATGGAGTGCGCAAGTTAATGAAAACACCTAAAGAGCCTGTTCCAGAGCGTGAACCTGATTACACCCATATTGCAGGGATTAGGAAAGTACTGAAAACACCAAAGCCAACACCACCCTCTCCAAAAGCAGATTATAATAATATTGCTGGGGTTAAAAATCTACTGAAGACTCCAAGAGAGGAAACTCTGAATGAGGCAGATTATACCAATGTTACAGGATTGAAGAGGTTATTAAGAACTCCTCGTAATGCCAAAGAAACTGCAGAAGCTGATTACACTAATGTTCAAGGATTAAGAGAGATAATGAAATCTCCAAGACAGAAACCAGAGAATGTGGAAGTGGAAGCAGATTACACAGAGCCAAAAGGATTAAGGAATCTGATGGCTACCCCTGCTCAGAAGCGCCTGGAACCTTTGGCAGATTATACCAATGTAAAAGGAATGAAACGATTGCTATCAACCCCTCAAACTCATAATGCACCAGAAGCTGATTACACTAGTGTGCATGGAGTAAAGAATCTTATGCGAACACCCAAATCTCAAGATTATTCTTTGGAGGTTGACTTACAAGGGTTAGGGCAGTTAATGAAAACACCTCTTACTGACCAAACTAATGTAGTTGTTAGTCAAGTAACTGAACTAGTACGCCAGACTACTACACCAGCTTCAGGTAGAAAGTCCCGAAGGGCTCCAAAAGTCATCAGTCCAACAACAAGCTCACCTTCAGAAAATATACCACCTGTAGAGCCACTTAAATCTAACACACAGGTAGTACAAGAGAAAGAACTTGATGAAGGCCTCACTCCACGTAGATCTCGAAGAACAATCAAGACTGAGTCTGAAAGCAGTACGCCAGTGAGACGTGGGCGATCCCGTCAAGTTAATATTAAGAATGAAGTGGCACAGGACGATTCTCCAGTTGCATCGACTCGAAGCCGCAGGGGCAAACGGGGAACTGCACCTGAAGAGGTAGCTGAAGTGCCACAGAAGAAATCAAAAAGGCGGCAGAATCAAGTGGATGAATCGTTGGATTCAAATGACGGCTCTGAGGAAAAAATAATTGAATTGCCAGATCCATGCATTATTGAAAAAGAATCTGAAGACATTGTTGAAGAAAAGAAATCTTTACCAAAGAGAGCTGGTCGAAGCCGCAAGGATGCAGCATTACAGAATGAAGTAACAACTAATGAAGAAACAGAAGTGGTAAAGGTTTTGACACCAGTGAAAAGAAAACAAAAGCAGTCTGAAGATATGGAAGGGAACCTCCCAAGTGCAGTGGAAGCAGCCATTGATGAGCCTGTAAAACCATCTACACCAGCAAAGAGAGGACAAAGAAGGGCCCAACCAAAGAAAGAAGAAACTGATGATTTGGTTCCATCTTTAGATATACCTGCTGTAAAACGCACAAGAGGAAAGTCGACCAAAGAAGTTGCCAAAGTAGAAGAATCCCCTAAAGTTTCAACACCTGTGCGAAGAGGACAAAGAAGAGGTCAAGTTGAAATTGAAAAAGAAACCGAACCCCAAGAATTGCCTGAAACACCAAAAGTAGAAGTACAAATCGGTGTGGATGAAGATCTGGAAAAGCCAGTGAAAAGTCGTGGTAAGAAGGTACGTGTGGCTGAGTCAGTAGAAATAAATACTGAAGAAGTGAAACCCACCAAAAGAAGAGGGCGCTCACAAAAGGTTGTAGAAGAATTGGACACAGAGGGGGAAAAAGTGGCTGACACCAAGCAGAAGGGGGGAAGAAGAACTGTGAGTAAACAAGAAACATCAGAAACTAATGAAGAATTAGTGAAGACTGTCAGTAGCAGACGTGGGCGTGGAAGGAAAAAGGCTGAAGAAGCAGAAAATGATAGCAACCAGGAAATAGAACAGCCAACCCCAGTCAAAAGACGTGGTAGAGCTGCAAAGGCTATTGAAGAACCTGAGCCTACTGCAGAAGCTTCTTCAACAACAACAACAACAACCAGAAGAGGTCGTGGTAAGGCTGCAAACAGCAAAGACGAGGAAGAAAGTGAGTCCTCTCAGGACCAAGTGAAAACTACAAGCCGTGGTCGAGGCCGCAAACAAACCATAAAAGATACTGAAGAAACCATTGTTGATGAACCTGAAGCAAAGACACGAAAAACAAGGGGCAAAAAAAAGGAGCCTGCAGATGAGGAGGAGTAAGTCTAGTTCTGTTTTTCTTCTCAAAATTACTATTTTCAGAACTGTATTGAATCCAGCACAGAAGCCTTAGAAGCCTTAGCAATATTTAAATTTTACATTGTTTACAATTATATAAAGATACAAAGTATGATTAAAGGTATTCTCTTTACTAATCCCCCCTGCTCTTTGTCTTTTTACAGGGAAGTTGCACAAACCTCTACAAGATCAAGACGAAAAGTTGATACAGAGGAGAAAGTGACAAAGTAAGTAAAATGTGTGAAGATATTCAGATCTGTTTCCAGTTAAGGAAAGAGGAAGTATATGATTATATTTTTGTGCACTCTTTCTTTATAGATCTGTGATGTTTTCATCATTGTTATTATTATTTATATGGATCTGCAGTGTTATCATCATTATTAGTGCTAGGATAAATGTAGGAATGTTTGTACATTCAGTGACTTAATTTCATCATATTTATAAATAAATAGTTCCTAATATGTTACCATTCTAATAACTTTGTGAATTGTTTTTTTCTTTTTCTAATTTTGAATACATATTTTTCCAGGGTGACTAGACAGACGCGGTCACGGAAATAAATTAGCAGTACAACTGTATACCTGAGTACCTGCCTGCATTTACTGCAATAGAAGTAACTTGTTTTATTCTATCAGAAGGTTATCTTACTTTTACTGTCATGATTTCAACAAATGTAAAATGATATAAACAGATTTTTTAACACTTTTTTAAAGACTAGAATTGTAGATATGTTAGGTGTTTTAGTTTCTTAATGTAATTGTAGAGAGATTTTGTCAAACTGACATAAATAATTTTATAGGAAGGTCCCTGAATGGTTCATTTTGCCATTGGGATTTATATTTTCTGGTAACCAGATACCATAAGGAGACATTGGGGGTATTTAAAATTAGATTTGTTTTCCTTCAAGATTTGTCCTTTATACATTTTCAACACTTTTTTGTCAATGATAGTATTGACAGTACATTATTGCATAGCTTACAATATCTACTCAGTCTCTTACATATTTTAATTTCCTTTTTATGTGCAAGATTTGAAGGTTTAGAAATAAGTTTCTTTCCTTTTTTATTCTTTATAAGCTAACACAGGAAGTTCACAAATGGAATTAGTTAAAGCATGTAGATAGCAGTCATTAAATTGTGAATGTGTGCTTTGTTTTATTACCTTAGAATGATAATCAAAATATGAACCTGTTCCTGATAACAACAAGACATGATGCTAAAAAGAAAACTAAGCCTAGAAAAATAAGCAATTTGTCAGTGTTCTCACGGCGACCATACTTATTAAGGATTTTGCGAGCCTGGCCAATAACAGAACCCATCGTCTTCAGTTCTTCCTGAGTTGTGCCAATTGTTTGGGACCCTTCAACTGGAAAAATAATCTTACATTATTTACATATTTATGGCATCTATTTGAAAAATATGTGGTTTCCTCTGTGGTAAATTAGAAGAAGAAATGGAGTATATGACTAGTATTTTGAAGCAAATGGTGTTTGGTCAAGTACACATTTTAAAATCTGTTACATATGTTAATAGTTAACAAATGAATGTGGTAGATATCAAAGGTCATATAGCACTGGTAAATTATTATGTCAAAAAGGGGTGAAAATGAGTTAATGATTAGGATAAAATGTTTGATGTCAAAGGTTATAGAGCACTGTTGCTCCCCTCTACCCTTTTAATTAACATACTATGCTAATGAAGTAAGACAGGTATTAGTAAAAAAAAAAAAAAAAAAAAGAGAGGGTTAAGGGTGAAGGTAATAGGATGAAATGGAGATTGTGTCTCAGGAGGGAAGAGGAACATCATATAAGATAGACTAGTAAAGGAGCCATTATGAAACAATCAATGGGTAACAAAGGTAGAGATGGGTGTTGGAGAAGTAGAGGAAGAATCTGAGGATTAAGACTGGGAACAGGGAAGTGATTAAGTATCTTGAAGAAAAGGAGGGGAATGATCCAAAGGACACTTGCACCAGATTCACATGAGCATCTAGGTGGGAGCAATATGTATAATGGGGAACAAAGGGAATAGTGCACAAAGAAGATGGGAGGAATAGGGGTAGGTGGAACCAGAAGAGGAGAAGAATGGATATCAGTAGAGGGAATGGGAATAGAGAGAGTGGAGGGTGAATGAGGGAGCAGAGCTTTCTCTTGGGTCATGTTTAGAAAGGTTTAAATGTCTTCAAGAGTTTCT